CCCAGATGCCTGAGTAACTTCTAAGCCCTGACTCTGGAGGGGAGCTCAGAGCCCAAGAGATGTTTATCCACAGCAAGAACATGGTAAACGCCTCCTCTAGTGAAGCACAGGCAGCCTGGCTGTTCTCTCCGGGGTCACTGGTCCTTTGAGAGTTGCAGTATAAATGGGGGGGGGGGGAGTGCTGGCAAGGGGAGAGAGAGCAGCCAGCAACAGCTGGAGCCAGGGCTAGGGTAGCAGTGGGCAGGGGCTGGGACTCGATGGAGTTTCGTCCTGCAGATAAAGGAGGGGGTGAGTCATGGGCAAGCGCCAGGCACTCTCAAGAGGCCGCTCAGAAACCAGCTCATCCGAATGCAGACAGACACTTGTCCCCATCCCTGTCCCTGTGGCTGCCACACACCCACGCACTCACTCCCTTCCCCCTCTTTCTCCTTGATCACCCACCTCCAGTGCCCCTGGCTTCTTCCTCCTTCTCAGCACTGACTGCCTGTCCCTGTCCCTGCCCACCCTCAGGTGGCCCACCAGGCAGCCACCCCACAGCTGTCTGCATTCCAAGTGCAGACTGGAGGGAGACAGGGGGAGTCAAGAGAAACTACCAACAGAGAAAGTAAAGTCCAGAAGGGTCTGAGATAGAACACATAAGGAAGGAGCACTGTGAACTCACTTCTCCCGGAAACCTTTGAGGACAGAGGAGGGTTCATGAGGCTCTAAGGCAGAGGAGGGGTCCTGATGACCTCGAGAAGGGCCCGACTGTCCACGGGTTGTGCCGTGTCATTTCCACTCTCCAGACCCTCTGCCCTTTGCCAGGACTGAGAAGCAATAGAATGAGATGCCCAACTGACACACTGAGGCCTCAGGGCACTAAGCCAGGCTCAGATTCCCAGCAGAACCACACCTGGGCCACCAGCCACGACAAGGGCTAGGGCAGCACTATGCCCCACCAAGCCTGTTCCTCACCGTGATGGGTCATCACGGGGACCACCTGGGTGAGGGCCTGGGGAGACAGAGAGTTCAGTCAGTAAGTGCAGCTCCATGCCTTGCACTGTGGAGCAGAACCGAATATGCTATCATCTTGCCTTGGAGGGGCATCGGGCAAGTGGGACACAAGAGCCACCAGCAAATGCGCATGCGCGCGCGCCTGTGCGCGCGCGCGCACACACACAGACACACAGACACACGCATACACACACACACACACACACACACACACACACTGGGCTTCACTGGCTGCCCCAGTGAAGGGCAAGAAGGGCTGGGACATAGCCCCAGGGTACAGTTTATGTTGCCCAAACACTTCCCAGGTGGAAGGAGATAAGACACCAGCATAACCCAAACCCTGCACGGAAAACAAATCTTAGGAGGCTGCAACCTTCCCCAAACAGGGAGGTAGGCTGGGATTAAGTGGGCAGCCTAGAGCAGGGGTATCTATCCCTAGTGACCCCCAATACCTCCTTGTCCTCCTCTTCCTCCTTGGAGCAATCTAGTGTCCACACCTACACAAGCCTGGTGGCTCCCAGACAGACGCCGCATCGGGAACAAACACCTGCTGGACACCAGCCTAGCCCCACCCCTCTGGGTCAGCGGCCCACTTCCGCGGCTCCAAGACTTACCGGAAACAGAGAATGCAGGGGTGAGGGTCCAGGTATCATCTTCAGGTCAGTCCTTGCTCTGGTGGGGCCTTCCCTAGTTCAGAAGGCCCCCTCCCTCCTGCCTACAGAAGTCGGGGACAATAGCCACAGCTACCCTGGGACACAGTCAACTCTGGACCGGCTCAGGGGAAATTAAACTCTTTCGGTGCCTTTCCCCAGCGCTCCCAGCCCTGCCCAATTTGGGTGGCTCCTAAACCGCACCTCAACCATTTGCCCTTTTAAAGGGTCAGGTCCCACATCCGCCTCCTCCCAAGGACATAACTGGCCCAGGAGAGACCTCAGGCCGGCTCGCGGCCCCCTTCACCCGGTCCCGGCGCGACCGGCGCCCCTGGGGCAGCGGGCTCTGGCTGGCTGCTGACAGGCGCTGCCCTGGCGCGCCTCCCTACCTGTCCCAGGTGAGCCGGGCCCTGCCCGCCACCGCCACCCGCTCCCGCCAGCCGCCCCGCAGCGCCCTACCTGAAGCAGCAGCCGCCGGCTCTCGGCGCGGCCGGAGGCCCGGGGCTCCCGGCACTCGGCCCGCGCGGGGGCCGGGGGGCTCCCCGGGGGCGGGGGCCCGCAGGGGGGCCCGGGCTCCAGAGCCTCGCAGCACACCAAGCTCACGGTGCAGCCCATCCGGCCGGGCGCCGGGCTGGCCCGGGGCCGGGGGCGGGGACGCGGGCGCGGGGGTAGCCGGCCCCCTCCCGCCCCCCCCCCCGCCCTGGCGACTGCGCCGCCCGGGGAGCCTCGCACGTCGGGGGGGGGGGGGCGCAACGACGCCCCCGGCGCGCCCCCGCCCGGAGCCTTCTGGGCCCGCACCGCCTGGTCGCCGGGGAGTGCGGGCCGGGAGAGGGGCGGCGACAAGGGCTCCCGGACGCAGCCGGGGGCGGAGGGAGCCCCGGGGACGCAGGGACTCGGGGGCCGGGGGAGGGGCAGCGACGAGGTTTCGGGGCCCGGGCGGCGACCGGCCGAGTCTTGGAGGGCGAGAAAAAGACCGACGGCGCGAAGGGGGAAGCAGGAAGCAGATAAGGAGAGACAGTGAGGGAGAGACCGGGAACACGGGGACACGGGGGACAAAGAGGGGGGCCGGAGCCTCTCCGCGGGGAGGCTGAGTCCCCCAGAGAGGGAGAGACGGGCAGAAGCCCGCGGCGGGACGGCGGAGCCAGGCTCGGCCTCCTCCAGTGCCACCGTCTCCAGGCGGTTCCTGAGCTCTGTGGAACAGTGGTCTTCGCAGATGCCTGCCCCTCTGTTCTCTGCCCCCATCCCTAGCCCTCGGGGCATCCCAGCCTAGAAAAATGAGGACGCGGAGGTGGGGCACAGCCAGGGCGGGAGAACACTCCCCACCTGGGCAACCCAGATGGCCGGGTCTTGGATTACAGGTTCACAGTGGCTTCACTTCCATTCTTTTAGGGGTGAGTGCGGCCCGAGCAGGGTGGCACTGGCAACCTGGAGACTGAGGTGGGGAGGGGAGGGAGATGCGTGGTGGGACCCTGCCCCCCCCTCCCCACCTGCTCCGCAATTCAACCGAGACTCTCGGCAATCACAGCCTCTCTGTGCCGCCTGGTGGCGACAAGGAAGAAAGGCAAGAGCCAGTGACCCTGATGGGAAAGGGAAGGAAACCCGCATATGGGGGCAATTGCAGCTATGGCTCTGGGAGAGTTGGTGGCTGGCCAACAAGTGGACCCCATCCGCCGGAAGGGCGCCATCCCCCAGCTCACCCATTCTGCGCTGGGGCCCCGGGTCCTGCCTGCCCCACATCTCCCCCATGATTTTCTGCTCCTCCCGCTCCTGCTGGGCTGGGCCTGAGTCACTTTCCAGGCGTCACTCTGGGAAAGGCTGTGCAGGACCCTCGGTCACAAGTGACAGGCTTAGACTGCAGTGCCTGGCTCTCCATCTCCCAGCCAGCCAGGCCTTCCTGGGTGAGTAGCAGGGAAGGGGTCTAGGGGTGGCTGGAGAAAGGGGGCAATGCTGGGAGCAAGAGACAGAGGCCTGTGGGATAGAAATGAGAGACGATGAGGCACCTCTAGGTGTCTATGGATTTCATGGTGAATCTGGACTGGACTGGAAGGGGATGCAGAGACCCTCGGTCCACCCCTTGGTTTATAGATGGGGAAACTGAGGCCCAGGGAAAGCAAATGATAGCCCAAGGTCACACAGTGAGTTAGTAGCAGGGTCAGGATGGAAACCCAGGGCTCTTAACATCCCCCTCAGTGTTTCCCAAACACCATCTCCACCCACCCTCTCTCATCTACTTTTATTTCCCTCCCCTTCCCCCTCCACTGTGTCCCCTCTTTCTTCACTCCTATCCCCCCCCACCCCACTCCCCTGGGAATTCCAGCAACAGTGGCCTGAAAGGCAGGACCCCTGGGCTTTCCCATGCCTGGTCTTTATTCCAGGTTACATCAGGATAAGCACTGGCCCCCAGTGGCCACAGTATTCCTCTCTGAGCCCCAGGACCCACTGGGGGAGGATTCCCCGGCGGGGGGAGAACCACAGGATTAAAACCAGGTGCCCTGCTCCCCACACCCACCCTGCATTCTGGCCCAGTCCCAGCTCTAGGGCTTCATTTTACTTCTGCCTCCCTTTCCTCAAACGACACACATTTTCCACTCAGCTGGAGGCCAGGAAAGGATGAGTGATGACTGCTCTGGCTGGGCTCCCTGTGGGGGAGAGGGGTGACCTTCCCTCAGCCCAGTGTCCTCGTGGCGTGAGCCCTAACAGGCCGTGCACATCAGGTTGCCCTGTGTGGGGACACACAGACCTGAGTTCGAGCTCTAGCTTCTCCACTTGGGGCCTGGGTAGCTCAGTCCATTAAGCTTCCAACTCTTGATAGCGGTTCAGGTCATGATCTCGCGGTGGTCATCTCATAGTCATGAGATCGAGCCCCGAGTCCAGCTCCTCACTGGGCATGGAGACTGCTTGAGATTCTCTCCCTCGGCCCCTCCTCCACTCGTACTTTGTCTCTCTCTCTCTCTCTCTCTCTCTCTCTCTCGCTCTCACTCTTGCTCTCTCTCTCTCTCTCTCAAAATAAATACTTAAAAAAAATTTTTTTTTAATGGAGTTAGTGACCTTTTAGGCTATTATGGGGACTGAATAAGACAAGGATGTCAGGCATGGAACATAGGGCCTAGCACCCTGGGACTGCTCCATGGTGTTGTGAGGCCCATCCCATCCCCCTCCCCCATGCTGGCCTACAGGGAAGAGCTGAGGTGTTTATCCTACTCCCCTTTGACTCACTGTGTGACTCTAGAAATGTCACTTTCCTGGCCCAGGCTCTGATTCTTCCTTGTATAAGAAGACAATTGAGCAGCTGAGCCCAGAGGCTGCTTCCTGGGCTGCCCCCAGAGCCGCAAGGAATCACATCAGTTTGAAATACTCATGGCAGAAGAAGGGGCCATCCTCACCAGGAACCTGAAAGGTGAATGTTCCCTGAGAGGTGTTCTGAGTTGAGCTGGGGGAGAAGTGAGGGCTCCTGGGACTCGCTCCGCCAGAGCCCCCGCCCACCTGATGCCTGATGTCCACCATCCCCCCCCACCCCCACCCCCGCACCCGCCCCTGCAGCTGCTGTTTCAGCCATCCTCCAAGGCTACCAGGATGGGCAGCCTCCAGTGACAGACGCCAGCGCTGAGCTGCACAGACTCTGTGGCTGCCTGGAGCTGCTGCTGCAGGTGATCCCCCGCCCCCACCCTCTTCCCAGCCCACTCTCTCTAGGCCCCCATAACCAGGAGGGACTTCCCAGAAACTGAGGAGACACCACCGGCCGCCTCAGCACCCTCAGAGTCAGCAAGCCCTTCCTGACATCGAACCTCACTCTTGGAGGTTGACATTGTAGCCTGGGACACGGGGGGGTGGGGCAGGTAGGGCAGCCACCCTGCTCTGAGGACTGAAGTCTCAGAGGCCAGATGTCCTAGGGCTGGACCTTTCTGCTATTGGTACTTTTGTTGAGCGCTTACCAAGGACCGGGCAAACCCTTTCTCATGCCCCGCCTTGTTAAATTCTCATTCTTTTTCTTTTTAAATGTTTATTTACTTATTTGTGAGAGAGGGAGAGAGCACAGGCACACAAGTAGGGGAGGGGCAGAGAGAGAGAGGGAGACACAGAATCAGAAGCAGGCTCCAGGCTCTGAGCTGTCAGTGCAGAGCCTGATGCGGGGCTTGAACCCCAAACCATGAGATCATGACCTGAGCCGAAGTGGGATGGTTAACTGACTGAGCCACCCAGGTGCCTCTTAAAATACTCATTCTAACCCCCTGAGGTGTTTGATGACCTTACCATCCCCACCTACACACACATACCCTTCCTCCTTCTCTGTGTTATGCACATGTGTGTGGTGTGAGTTTACATGTGAGGTTGGTAGGATGCCAGTCTACCCCCCTCTTTTGCTGCATTGCATTCACATTGACCTCCTTGTTCTTCCTAAAGCACACCAGCAATACACCTACCTCGGGGTCTTTGCACTTGCTATTCCCTCTGCCTGGAATGCTCTTCCCTTAGAAATTTGAATGGCACAGGGGCGCCTGGGTGGCTTGGTCGGTTAAGCATCCGACTTTCACTTAGGTCATGATCTCGCGGTTCGTGGGTTCGTGCCCTTTTTCTTGTTCTGTGCTGACTGCCTGCTCAGAGCCTGGAGCCTATTTCGGAGTCTGTGATTCCCTCTCTCTCTGACCCTCCCCTGCTCACGCTGTCTCTCTCTCTCTCCTAGAAATAAATAAAACATTAAAAAAAAGGGGGGGGCGCCTGGGTGGCTTAGTCGGTTAAGCGTCCGACTTTCGCTTAGGTCATGATCTCGCGGTTCGTGGGTTCGAGCCCCGCGTCGGGCTCTGTGCTGACTGCCGGCTCAGAGCCTGGAGCCTATTTCGGAGTCTGTGATTCCCTCTCTCTCTGACCCTCCCCTGCTCACGCTGTCTCTCTCTCTCTCCTAGAAATAAATAAAAAACATTAAAGAAAAAAAAAAGAAAGAAAGAAAAGAAATTTGAATGGCACAATTTCCTTTGGATCTGGACTTTGAATAGTATCTCCTCAGTGAGGCTCTCTCTAGCCACCCTAATGCAAATTTTTAAAACATACACACACATACACATACCCCAAATCACAGGCGCACTGCCACGCATACATAACACATGCTCACATACATTGCACACGCCACACACACCTCATACACACGCCACATACGCACATGTGTGCACACACCACATGCTTTCTATTCTCTTTCCCTGCTTTATGTTTCTCCTTAGCGGGCAGCACCACCTACCATACTCTATGTTTCACTTACTCTGTGCATTGTCTGTCTCCCCTACCAAGGTCATGAGGTCAGTTTGTTCACTGCTGTATTCCCAGGGCACAGAACAAAGGCTGACACATAGTAAGTGCTCAATAAGTACTACTGGAGTGAACGAATGAGAGCAGCAAAGGCTCAGAGAGGTCCTGCGCCTTGCGCACTGTCACACAGCCAATACGGGCAGAGCCAGCTCCTGAAGCCGGGTCCGTCTACAGTAGCCCTTCTCCCTCCATTCTCAGCGCACCAAATGCAAGGTGGGCTCTGGGAGGGAACATTTCCAGGCTCTCCCTTCCCTGGTCTTGCTCCCAGTTTGACCAGAAAGAGCAGAAGAGCCTCCTGAGGCCTCGGAAGGACTACTGGGACTTCGTCTGCACTGGCCTGCGGCGACAGCGGGGCAGCACGGAGCCGGCCCGTTTTGTCCACTCACAGGACAAGGTATCCAGAGCCAGGTGGCAGGGAGGCTGGCCTCAGCGTGAGGAGGTCCTGCCTCCAGGCCCTTGATGGGGATGGCCTCCGGGACCCCCTTTTGTGTTAACCCGTTCCCGCTCTGCTGACCACAGACCCCTCACCCGGTCTTCGCAGCCCTCCAGCTCCCCCTTCTGTTCCCAAACAGCACAAGTCCCCATCTTGTCTCTCTGTCCTGGCTGATTTCCTTCTCTTCTAATACCACCACCCACCACCTCCCCACCTTCCCCTCAACCTTCCCACATTCCCCCCACCTCCCCACCTCCCCCCACCTCCCCACCTCCCCCTACCTCCTCACGCCCCCACGTCTCCACCTTCCCCCTAACCTCCCCACCTTCCCCCCACCTCCACTACCTCCCCACCTCCCTCCCGTCTCCCCACCTTCCCCCCACCTCCTCACCTCTCCCCCACCTCCCACCCCCCCCACCATTCCTGCCCCTGTGCACTCTGCAGTTGAAGACTCCTCTAGCAAAAGGCCGTGCCTTCATCCGCTTCTGCCTAGCCCGCGGACAGCTGGCCGAGTCCCTGCAGCTCTGCCTTCTGAACCCAGAACTCACCAGGTGCGGCTGCTGGGACATGGGGCTCCTGACACCCCCCGAGCCCACTGTCCATCCCCTGTGGACGATGCCTCTTTGCCCTTGGATGGATGGGTTAATATCAAGGACAACTAAAATGAGAGTCATGAAAGAAAAGTCCCGGAAGAAAGGGCAGACGGGACATCAGAACCCCAGAGTCCTGGTAGCACCATGATGCTTAAGCCTCTTGCTCCCCAAGGGCCACAGCCCTGCCTGGGAGACCATCCCACTGTGGTGTATGGCAGAGGCAGGTTCTCTGGGGGTGGGGGTGGGGGTGGCCAGAGCACCAAGGCCAAGCACCAAGTACCAAAGGCCAAGTCTGCCAATTACTGATAACACAGGGAATGGTATGGCCCCCGGAGCCCTCTGGTGTGCCCTGAACTCCGGGAAGACCTCCTGGATTCTCTCTATGCTCTCAATGGAGTGGCCTTCGACTTGGACCTGCAGTGGCCGGACCTAGATGAAGCCTGGCCCATGTTCTCAGAGTGAGTGGGTCTCGCATGGAGGGAAACCTCTTTTCAGTGCCTTCCTGCTGTTTGACCACCACCCAGCCCAAGCAGGCTCCAAACTCAGCGTCCAGCCCCATCGGTTCTTCCCTTCTTGCTGTCTCAGTCCCTGATTCTCCACCTCCCCAGACGTCTGTTTTCCCAGCGTGATCTATCACGTCACGTGATGCTGCATAGAGCGCACGCTCACTAAAGAGTTGTTGGATGGCTGTGGTGGGGGGTTAGAAGGACAAACACATGGTGGATGTTAGGACGAGCGGTGGGTGGGGCACATGGATGGACGGGGGGGGGGGTGCTTACATGAGGATGGAAGGACCCGGAAGGTGGGAGGGCTAGCGAGATGAGTGGGTGGGTGGGAAGATGGGATGTCCTGTGGCTGGACACCAAGGCCACTGCTGGAGAGAGCCCCGTGGCCCCCACCTTTCTCATTTGTAGGTCCTGTTGTTCCAGCCGGACCCAGGGGAGAAGACCCAGAAAGACCAAAGACTCCCCAAAGCAGGTGCCTCTGCCCAACTTCACTCTGATTTGCCTCTTCTGTCTCTGTTGGGCCCCCCAGGATGGATAGTAGCCGAGCAGACAGACAGAGAGGCCAGTGTGTAGACCTGGGGACTGCGTAGCCACAGGAGAAGAAAGGGCGCATATTCCCAAGGTGGTGAAGATCTCGGGAGGAGAGGGAGACCACTGGCACCATCTGCAGGAGCCTGGGGCCCAGGAGAGGAGGAGGCGGTGGGGAGGGTAACCAGAAGTGTGTAGGATGCACATCAAGGAAACAATCTCCGTTGGACAATCTGCAAATGTCTCAGCTCACTTGGAGCGATTGAAGAGCCAGATTTCTGGGTGCAAATCCCAGCTCTGCCCCTAACAACCAAGGCCCTTGGCAAGGTACTTGCCCTGCCTCGCAGGGTGATTGTGAGGAAGCCCAGGGACAGCCTGCATGTAGCACAGAGCAAGGCCCTTGGCCACATGCCCTGTAAGTGGTAGCTCATGGCTATCGTCATTTCCCAATCTCTCTCTGCACCCCACCAGCTTCCTAGCACCAGGAACAGACACCGTGAGGACTCAGCCTCTGCCCAGAGTGGGGAACACATTGCAAGACAACCTGTTAAGTGCAGCGATGCAGCCATGCACAGAGGGACAGAGGAGCACAGAGAAGGCTTCTCAAGAGAGGTGACTCTTAGCTGCTGTCGGTCTGTTTATGCTTTCACCATAACCCTACAAGGCAGGTGCTATTATTCCCATTTTACAGACATGAAAACTGAAACACCAAGAATTTCAGGGGGCAGGGTCAGAGGAGAGGGTGGGGAGTCGAAACCAGATGCCTGCGGAAGACATAGGGGAAGGGAGGGAGGGAGGATAGGAAGGAGCACTGAGAAGCACTACCGCTCCCTGACCAGAGATCAAAGCTGGGGCCTCCCATCCACCTGGGGCAATGTTAACATTCTGATTCTTGGGCCCTGAATCAATATTCCTTTAGATTTATAAGGGAGGTCTGTGGCCTCTCCAATGCACTAGGTTGGCAGATTGGTGCTGAGAGCGGCGATGGTTTGGGGGGCTTCTCTGCAGATCTCAGCTGCACGTGGAGACCCTGCAGGAGTCCACCCAGAGGAGCCACACACTAGCCAGACCCGCTGTCTGCAAGATGCACCCCGGGAAGGCTGGTTAGCGGGGCTCCCCGGGTCCCAGCCACAGAGGCATCTTCCTCCCTTTCTGGAAAAGAAGAGAGAAGATCCCAGGAGCCTCAGGTCTCCCCAGGGCATGTGGGAACCATCAGGGGAGGAACTCCAGCAAGCCCAGAAGGGAGACCCAAAAACTGGGACCTGCCTGGAGATTTCAACACCCAGCATCCTGGGACAGGGAGAGAGTTCCAAGGAGGCTCCAAAGGAGGTGATAGGGACAGAGACTGAGGGCAGAGGGGTTCTTCCTGGTGCGGAGGGGACTCATGAAGGGGGAGCAGAGCGCACTTGTGTCCACAGGCTACTGGCCTCCAGCCCCGCAGGGACAATAGAGGACACAATGTCAGGGAGCCAGCAGGAGTGGGAGGTACCTAGCATTCCAGGGGAGCCCCAAATCCTCTGGGGCTGGGGATCAAAGGAAGACTTCACCCCAGAGAAACCACAAGAGGAAACAAGAGTGACCAGCGGGACCAGGAGGAAGGAGCGGGCAGAAGTGGCCTTGCAGGATGTGGTCAAGGTGAGAGCCGTGGAGCCCAGTATCTGTCTCTTTTCCCCTCTCTAACCTGGCCTCCAGGTGGGACTCTTCATGGGGGGGGGGGGGGCGCATCCCAGCCCACAGATCCATTTTGATTGGTCTGCACAGCGTTATTATTCCCTGAGGAGGTCTTCCTGAGGCCACCACAGTCCCTGCCTCTCCCCGTGGCCTCCCTCACACCAGGCCCACTTTACTCACCTGTACTACCTGCCTGGGCCCTGGGGGCCTTGGAGCCTAAGACTCCCTACCCAACAGTTCTTTGGGGGCAGTCACCCGTTCAAGTTCGGTAGCCCTGGTTACTGGCAGATTTCCCACCAATGTCTAAGTTCTGCTGTTGCAAACCCCACCCGGCTGCTCTGACTGTAAATGCTTCTCCTGGAGATCCCCAAGATCGATTTCAAGCCCCGCTTCAGCGCCCTCTCCAGCCTTGTCTTCTGTAGCTCTCATCCTTCAGCAAAGGAAGAAATCTTTCCCCAGTTCCTTTGTCTCTCATTTCCCTGTTCCCTGTTGCACAGTCCCCTATCAGTCTCTTGAACCATGATCATCATCCTCTCCCAGGGGCAGGCAGAGCCGGGCCTCTCCGCTCCCAGAATCCTGAATCCTGCCCTGAATCCTGAATCCTGCTGTCCTGAATCCTGCCCTCCACCCAGTGGCTGCCTCCCACAGCCCCGGGGTCTCATGGGGATGTTTGTCAGGTCACACCCGGGGCTGGGGTCTCTGCCCTCCTCCTTCAGCTTCCCTCTCTCTTCCTTTGCCTCCCACCCCCAAGAGCCTGAGATATGGGCTCCGGAAGACCGAGGAGCGGGCCCAGCACCAGGAGCAGCTGCTGAAGAAGAAGGAAGGGGAGCTGCGGACGCTGCAGGAGCAGCTCAGCAGGTAACCTTGGCAACCGCCTGCACAAACAGGTGGGCGGCAGAGGCCAGCAGGACAGGAGCTGCTCCCGGCTCCTCCTCACCGTCGTGGTCACACCAGCAAGGTTCTGCTGAGCGCCTCCGTGCATCAGGCCTGTGCTGGGCACGGCTTTGGGACGCTGAGGCGCTGAGGCTTTCAGGGCACTACTCCTGGAGGAGCTCCCGCCAACCTCTCCCCTGCCCCTTGCTAGCCCCTTCCTCACTGGCCTCCCCAAAAGCCTCCAGGAGGGATGTGTGCCTCCTGTCCCTCCCTCCCCTCCCACACTCACCTTTGTCTCTCTGCTGCCTCTTCCCCTGCCACTCCCCTCTCTTCTCAGCCCAGTCTCCCCCCTGCCCCTCCACACTCCTGCCCCTTCCGTCTCCATCTTTCCTCTGGTCCATTGTCTCTCATTTTCCTCTTCCCTGTTGCACAGTCTTCTTTCACTCTCTTGATGCACAATCATCATCCTAACTGTCATGTACTGAGCATTTACTACGTTCCTGGCACCCTTCTAGACGTTTCCCCTCAACACAGTTATGAAGTAGGTTCTCTAAGAATTTCCATTGTATAGATAGGAAAACTGAGGCTCAAAGGTGCCACACAATTCACCCAATGTCACTAGTTAGTGGAGGAGCTGAGGTCTACACCCTGGTAGCTGATTTCAGAACCTGTAGACTTAAACAAGAGCCCTCAGCCAATATTTTGAGTGCCTATATTTATTTCAGTCTGTCACTCCCCGTCAGCTACCCTCACCTCCACCTTCTCCAACTTCCTGTCACCACATTAACCTCAAAGGTCCAGAGCATGCTCTCTCAGTGTCTGAGTTTCTCTTTCATAATTTTAAAAAATATCTCCACCATGCAAAGATCTTCCTTGGTCTGACTCCATCTCTCTGTCTTTCTCTCTCCCTTCGCTCTGTGTGCCTCAGGCGGCCCACCTGCCCCTGTCTCTTACACATGGCTGACCCCTGCCCCAGGGCCAGAGGCACCAACCCGAAACCCCATGATAGGCTGGGTAGCTGTGATTCAGACTGAATCATGGGGCATCTTACTGACTCTCTGCTTAAAAGGCTGAAGCACACTATAGGCCCAGAAACCAACCCAAAAAGGCCCCCGGGGGCTCTTCCCCCAACACACTCAGCTGAGCCTGGCGGTTTGGTCAGCAATGATTCCCATGACTCAGGCCCTAGGTGAATGCAGGGGCCTTGCTCACCCAGGGGCCTTCTCTGGGAATCAAGACAGGCTGGAGGGAACAGCCAGGAGGCTCCAAGGAGACCACCAGGCCCAGGCTGCTCCCTTAGCTGGGGGAGCCCCCGTGCCACAGACCACTACTTCGCCACCTGTCGTCCAGTCCATTAGCCATAGAAGCTCAGCTCTGTGCCAGCCCTGTTCTATGCACCAGAACCCCTCCCGTGGACAAAACAGGCCAAATGCCCAGTCTTGTGGAGCTCACCATCTAGTGGGGAAAGCAATCGATAAACACGATAAGCAAGTTAATTGCATAGAACATCAGATGTGACAAGTTCTAAGAAGAAGAAAACTAAAGCAGCAAATGGGAGTGTCAAGGGGTAATATTAAATGAGGTGATGCAACCAGGGAAGGCCTCCCTGAAAAAGTGATATTGGAGTTAAAAACCTGAAGGAAATGAGGAGCGGGCTGTGTGGGCATGTGATAGAGGAATGTTCCAGGCAGAGGAAGAGCAAGAGCAAAGGCCCTGGGGCAGGAATGGGCATGGCAGGTCCCAGGAACATCACGGAGAATCAGTGGAGTAGAGGAATAAGAAGAGGTAGGGGGAGGTGAGTTAGGTAACAGGAGACCCTCACAGGTCATCAAAAAGACCTGGGCTTTGACTCAGTGAAATAGGAGCCACTGGGAGTTTGTAGCAGAGGAGGGACACGATGTGACCATTTGCTTTAATGTTAAGTAGGTTTGCTTTTTTTTTTTTTTAACAATTCAGTGGGTTTTACTGTATTCATAAAATTGTGCATTGATCGCCACAATCAGTTTTACGACACGCCAAAGAGAAACCCTGTACCATTGGCATCCACTGCCTTTCCCTCCCAACCCCTTAGCCCTAAGCAACCGCTAATCTGTCCCCATAGATATGCCTGTTCTGGGCTGATCTGGGCTTTCAAGGGCTGGAGCCCGCTGCTCTGTGGAGCTAGTCTATAAGGAACCAAGGTGGAAGCAGGGACTCCGATTGGGAAGAGGAGGGCAGGGTGCCTCTGAGTGCTGTCCAGTCACGGAGGTGCAGAGAAGTGTGGGATTCTGGACTCACTGTGAGCCTGGACCTCCTGGGGAGGAAGAGGGAAAGACGGAAGTCAGGAATTACTCTCATTTTCCAGCCTGACCAGCTGGAAAGCTAGAGTTACAGCTGACGGTGGGCTGTGGCAGGGCTGGCTTGTGGGGAAAGTTCAGGAGTTGAGGGGGAGAGCATGTTAAGTCTGAGACGCCCTTTGGACATGGAGTTGAGCAGACAGTTGAGTGTGGGGCTCAGAGGAAAGGCCTGGGCTGGGGATCTATGGGAGAGTCGTCAGAATGAAGATAGCAGAGCAGAATCTCCTGTGGCCAGGAGGGTGCGCTCTCTCACCTCCTAGGATCCTGGGGACTCGGAGGAACGCCTCACTCCAGGGGAAAGGGGCCTTGGGCATCAAGCTGGGGGCGGCTGTTTCACTACCACCAGATAGAAGTGCCAGGGAGCCCACTCGGTCAGCACATAGTATATTGTGACTCCATTGCACCCTTGAGCAGGGAACAGAATAGGCAGTGTCCTCTCTCACAGACCTGGGGACACCGACACTAGATCAAGAAATAGAAATGGGATGTCAGGTAGTCATGGGCACCGTGGGAAAAAGAATCAATCCCGGAAAGGGGCTAGAGACAGGAGATTCACCTAGGTTAGGAGTCACAGGGTTCCTCTCCGAGGAGGTGACAGTTGAGAAACCCCAGCCACTGGGAAAACTGGACTGTGCAAAGATCATGGGAAGAGTGCTCCAGGCAGGAGCACCAGCAAAGGCAAAATCCCAGAAGTGCACTTGGGGAGAAGCAGGCCCATGTGGCTGGGGTGGACAGAGACCCCTGTTCTGTGGAAGCTGGAGCAGAGCCTTGTGCAGAAAGTGGAGAGCCCCACGGTTTCAGGATGACTCTGTCTGTGGTATGGAGAATAGACAGAAAGTGGTGAGGGTAGAGCCTGTGGGTGCAGAGCCTGGGCTGGACACATAGGGGAGACAGCTAAGCCTCAGGCCTCAGCAGACCAACCCGGGGCTATGAAAATACACTTGGACCTGAGCTATGGGGCAACCAGTACCACTTCCCAGCTTCCTGGCTACAGCATCTTGAGAAACTGGCCTTCCCTCTCTGGCCTTTGGTCCCTGATTTGCAAAAGGAGATAGTTGGAGCTCTAAAGTTCCTCCTTCCAGCTCAGATGCTCTGGGGGACCATCTTTGCAAGCAGGTAGGTTTCCTCTGCCCCTGGGTGAGACCTCAAAGCAAAAATGATTAGGGCAAATATAAGTGGAAAAGGTTTTCAGAAAGAATCAAGCAACATCCAACATCATACTTCCCGCCCTGCCCCCACTTGAGCTCCTTTGAGGCACACCAAGGGCTCATGAGGATCCATCCCTTGCTCCCACTTGCTGCCCACTCGGCACTGGTGCCATAAACCGCTGGCGACCATACCTCCACGTAGACAAAAGTGTGTGGAGGCAAATAGAACTTACGGCTTGACAGGCCTGCACCCAGATCTCTGCTCCCTCCACGTTTCAAACGATGTGACCCTGGACAAGTGTTGTGTCCTCTCTGAAGTTCTATTTACTTTCCTATAAATTATGATCATATCACCTGCCCCCCCCCCATACTTGTGAAAATTAAAGGAAACAAGGCCATAAAGCACTAAGCTCAGGGCTGGCATGTAACAGGTGCTCTAGACTTTAATTCCTTCCATGTCCTCTCCTGCACCCAGAGTGTCTGTCAGCCCCTGCTGGAGATACTTTAGTGGCTTCCCATTGCACTGAGGTTCAAGTCCACTCCTCCTGGGGCCACTGAGGGAGGGATCAGACCCTGCCTACTTCCCACCTCATCTCTTGCCGACCCCCCACCTCCTGCAACTTCATGGTATCCCAGCTTCCCTAGTCTTCTTTCAGTTCCTCAAACAAGCAAGTTCTCGCCAACTTGCAGACCTTTCCATGTGACCTTCACTGGCTCTGTTTGGCTGACTTCTCATCTCTTAGATCTGCTTAAATGTCACCTTGTCTCAGAAGCCTTTCCTGAGCACCCTCTCAAGTCTCTCTCCACCCCTCATTTATCTGTCATACACTTAGCTTAATTATGCTATTGGTCTATCACTTGTTTTGACCACTGCCCCGAACCCACTTTAAGCTCCACTAGGACCCATAGGCCCTGCTCACTTCTTGACACCTCAAACAGCCACTGGGACACAGATGGTGCTTAATAAATGTTCCCTCCCACCTCAGAGACACACACTAACCGTGGTGCTCACATCGGGGCCCGCACTGGCCACACCAAAGGCCTTGAGATCAGTGTGCAAGTAAACTAGCTCAGGAAGATGAAATGCCAGTATCAAGAAATAAGGATACTGAAGACCATGGTGTTCATTAAAATAGACACAGCCTCAGTCCAGCGCCTGAGCACAAGAACACCCTTCCTAAGGCTGCAGGGACTGGTCTTTTTGGAATTTCGGTGGATATCTGTTGTCAGTTTGATTTTACAGCCTACCCAGCTTTCTTCTCTGAGGTGTGCTATGCAGTGGTGTTGTAAAAATTCATAATTCAGTTCATTGGCAAGCCTTCTGCAAGCCTCAAACACACCGAAGCCCAGGGGTGTGCCACATGCGCACAAACACACACACACACACACATCCTGAGGTCACAGGATGTGTACCCACCTTTGCAACACCCGCCTTATCTGAGCAACGGAGGGAGGGGCTGGGACCCGGGGCTGGCACCTTCTTATTTCTAGTCCAGTAGATTTCTTGGAACCTTCTAGGAAGCCACCAAAGACAAAAAGAAGAGGCAAGAATAGAGCTGAGGAGATTCTAAGCCAAAGCTGAAACAAAAATGTAAGGAAGCCACTTGTTTAATATTCTTTTCTTAATTTTCTTAAAAGACAATGCACCATAGTTTTCCAAAATATTTTAAAACCTAAAAAAAAATCACCCTAAATCCTATACCACTTACCCCACTCCCAAACCATCCATCATTCTCAGCTGAGCAAAGCCCACCCAGCCTGGGGTCCCACACACCCACCTTCACTCCAGAGAGCCATGCAGTTGTGAGCATGCCTCTCAAGACCATTACATTTTAAAATGGAAATGTTAGAAAAGAAAAGAAATACAAACAATGGAGATGTTGGCTCACCTTCTCTAAAGGAACACAGGAGGCTACACCCTGTTTTCATTCCTCTGAACGGTTGGTAAGGAGTCAGCCTGTGGATGGGATGCTAGCCACAGTGCTCAGTTTGGTGTGTGGTCTGGCATGTTATGTATGTCTGTGAGTATGTGTGGCCCAGGAGGGTGTGGGGGGTGGAGAATGTATGGAGTGTGTGTGTGGAAGGGAGAGTGTGTGTGCTTGCTATGTGTGGGGTGCTAGGAGTGTGATGTGTGTATGTGTGTTGTCTATGGTGTGTATTGTATTATAAGTGTATGTTTGTATGTGGTATGTGCTATATGTGTGTTTTGTATTGTAAGTATGCTGTGTAAATATGTGGTGTGTTGCAAGTGCATGTGGCGTGTTGTGGTATGTGTACTGTGTGTTGTGTAGGACAGCGTTTATGTTGCTGTGTAGTGTGTGTGTGTAGGTGTGGTGTGTGTGTAGCATGGGATGCTGTGAGGGCTGTGGAGTATATGTGTAGCGTGTGTGTATAATGTGAGTATATGTGTGATGTGTAAGGTATGTGTGTATTGAAGGGGTGTGTGATGTGTGCATGCGCGCACATCAGCTATAGGAGATACCACCAGCTCCTCCCAGGAGCTCCCTGTCAGGTAGAGGCCCAGCCTAGCTTGGTCACAAATGCTGAGAACTGAGTCTTCCTTCTGTGCCCAGGTGTCAGGAAGAGAGGGCCCGGCTGCAGACAGAGCTGGAGCAGAAGCGGCAGGAGGCCGAGAGGAGGGACGCCGTGTATGAGAAGGAGCTTGGAGGGCAGCGGGACCTGGTCCGTGCCATGAAGATGAGGGTGCTGGAACTGATTCAGTAAGGGTGGACGCAGCGGGGCAGGACTGCAGAAGCGGGGATGGTATGGGATGTAGAGAGACTGGGGAATGAAAATTCTACTCCGCTGAAAACTACAGAGCAGGGTTCTGAACCTTTATGTATGCTGACTCATCTTTTAGCCACCCCAACTGTTCTCCTCGTTTTATAGATGAGGAAACTGAGGGTCAGAGAGGCTGACTTGAACACCAAGGACATATAGCATATAAATTGCATTGAGTCCTCTGGCTCTAAGGCACACCACCACTCCAACCCACCCCCACATACACACATACCTCCTAAGGTTAGGGGAAGGGAAAAGAGCCCATAGATGGGAGAAGGATTTGAGAGAGGAAAAGGGGAGGTTAACCAAGAGGTAACCATATGTGCTACACTTGACTGCCTGGTGGACTTCCTCAGACCACTTGGCCTGTGGGTCATCCTGGGTCAGCTGTCCTAGGTTCCAGAGGCTGAGCTCACCAGGATGGATTCCAAACCACTAAGCCACTGAGGAATGGAGGTATGTAAAGCCTAGTTTCTCCCCTTCAGTCTAGTAGGGAGCTAATGCTACACTTTGACCCAGTTCAGGAAGCAGGACCTATTGGATTCAGGTTTCATTAGAATTAGAGGGGCTAAATCCTCTTGCACAAAATCCAAGTGATATTAAAGATGAGAGAAGGGAGAAGTCAACCTAGAAAGAACAAAGAATTTAAGGAATGATCTCCTCCAAGGAGCTGTCAATGGGGAGAAGGGGGGGGATATAAAAAATTAACCATGTATCTCACAAAAGAATTTAAGGTATCCAACAATAAAAGACATATATGTATATATAGGTATTGTGTATATATGTGTATACACACATGTATACATATATGTCTACATACATGTACATATATACATGTGTGTATATATACATATACACGTGTGTGTGTGATTGTTAGAGGAAAATAGATGAAATGGAAGAGGAAAAAATTCGTACTTTTGAGGTGTTAGGATCGGGGTTAGAGTTAAAACTTAGCTCTGAGCATCTTGGCAGAATCGAAAATGGAAACACAGGAAGTTGCCTAAATGTCACTATGCATTCCAAGGATATATACCAGTTCGTCAGGCAAGAAAGATGTTTTTCCTAGTGTTAAAGAAATTCATCACAAGATCCCAAGCTACATAATATAATGTCCCTTGCAGGAGCATCATGGAAAATATGGTTCTAAGCAGAAAGGGCAGGGGGGAGGGCAAGCTATAGAGGCTGACTTCTGCATCAAGATGGTGGACTGATAACACATCATCTGTTTTTCATCCTGAGATCTCAGTAGAATGATTGTAAAAAATAAATAAATAGATAGATCAAATTTCTAATATAGAGAAAGGTGGAGGAGCCAATCACAGATAAGAGATTTCCAGAAGCCAGAAATTGGATGAAGAAGTAAATACTGGATTTAGCCCAAGTTAGAACTTCAGGGGCCAGAGGCACCAGGAACACAGATGGCAGAAATGAGATAAGGGACAGCCATCAGGAATATTGATTGATAAAGTCACTGGAAAGAGCAGTGTACACCTCCTGCTTTCAGCCTGCTTCCCTGACTTCAGAATATCAACCCTGAGGAGTCTATCTCCCAGGTGAATAATTAAAACTTCCTTCACTAAAGAAAGTTAGATGCCCCAAGTAAACAACAGTGTGTTCTGGCATTTGACAATCTGAAGTGGCAGGTAGCTCCCTGCCCCTTCCTAAAGGGAAGCCACAAGTCAATCACCCTTGTCCACTATTGAAGTTCCAGTGGCTTAAACATGAAATGGTGACCAAGGGTCTCCAGATGTTTGAGAAGAATCTAGAACATAGAAGAGACAAAGGTAAACAAAAAAGATCTGTCTCCCATGAAATAGGATGATGTGAAAAGTGACCTACAAAAGATGAGAAATGTTCTTAGAAATTAAAAATATTTCTGAAATTTTGTCTTAACTCTTGAGGATTGGAAAAGAAAGAGGAGGCTATCTCTCAAAATGTAGAATAAAAGGCACAAAAAGATGGAATACATGAGATAAAAAGTTAGAAATACAAAGAATCATTCCAGGAGATTCACTATCTATCTTCTCCAACTGACAAGAATTCAAAAAATTTAAAAAAAGGTAGAGAATAAAATGGAGGAGATTATCAGAAGAATGAGAGACTTTCCAGCCTCTAAAGGTTGCAGATCTTCAGATGTAAAGATTTCACTGAGTAACCAACACAATAAGTGAAAGGGAGCAAAATCCATATTGAGATACACCATTGTGAAATCTCCGTAAAGCAAAGATGAGGACAATATACTCGAAGACACGTCACCTATAAAGGAAGTAGGACACAGAAAAACATGTTAAGAATCAATGGTGTAATACTTTCAAGTTCTGAGGAAAGCTAACTTTTGCCCTAGAATTCTAGGTCCAGCCCAACTATAAAACAAGTAGAGAAGGTGATATAGGAAAAGACATTTTTCAGGAAGACAGGTTACAGAAAATTTACCTCCCACATGGCCTTTCTTGGGAAGTTAATTAAGGATGTGCTTCAGAAAAACAGGGAAGTAGGCTTGGCTTACCAAGAAAGGAGAAGATGTGGAATTCAGGAAACAGTAGCTCTAGCCCAGGAGAGAAGAAAAGGGAATTTCCAAGATGACAAGTGGCTGGCAAGCCCAGGGAGCAGTAAGTCCAGGCTGAAGCAAAAGTGTTGAGGACTGAGGAGGAAGGCCTCTGGGGAAAAAGATAATCAATAGCATACCTGATATGACGAAGAATTTGTTGAGGAGAGGGAATAATTAGGCTGTGTTAAAAGTAAGTCATGCAAGGACTTTGCAAGGAGTAAAGAAAGGTAATTAAAAAGTCCTGGAAAAACAAAAAACTTCCAAGGAAATGTTAACAACACAGTTCGCTCTCATTGAAGCAATATGCTTATATATTTTCTAATAATGTAAATACTATTTATTGATTTTTTCAATATTAGAACAACCTAAAGACAAAGCACAGTAAACATTTGTAATTATAGAACAAATGTAAATGCTATCATCTAAACAACATGAAGTACATAGAATAGAAACCAATAGAAATTTCTGTGAAGATGGAAATGGTCTATATTTGCCCTGTCCAGTACAGCAACTACCAGTCATGTGTAGTCACTGAGTACTTCAAATGTGTCTGATGTGACTGAGGAACTGAAGTTCTAATTTTAGTTAATTTTAACTAAATTAAATAGAAATTTAAGTAGCCCCATGTGGCTAGTGGCTACCATATTAGACATTGCAGGAATAAATAACAAGTAGGAGGTGGGTGAAGGAGGCCAACTGAAGAGGAAGGGATGCTGGCATCATCATATTACAGAATGGCAGTCAAGATGCTATCTGTGCTCCACAGATCGAGAGAGAAATAAATGTGTGAGTATATTCTGTAAAACTACAATAGTAATATAGAGGAACCAAAAATAGGAATATAGCCACATGGGGAAGAAGGATGTGGAGTTAGTGGGGATGGTAATAAATAAGCTAAGTCCTCTGACATCAAGGTAAGGAGCTCTGTAGAAGATGTTCTCTCTCAATATATCAAAAAAAGAGGATATGAGCATATTACTTAAGTGTGGAAGTAATATGAAAGAGAAAAAGCTAAAAGTGTAAGAAGTGGTTTGCCATTGAGAGTAGAAGGAGTAGGGAGGGTGTCTATTACCTTTTGGTAGAAGTTCTTTTTTTTTTTTAAGGTTTTATTTATTTCTAGGAGAGAGAGAGAAAGAGACAGCATGAGCACGGGAGGGTCAGAGAGAGAGGGAGACACAGACTGAAACAGGCTCCAGGCTCTGAGCTGGCAGTCAGCAGAGTCCGACACGGGGCTCAAACCCACGAACCGCGAGATCATGACCTAAGCGAAAGTCGGACACTTAACCGACTAAGCCACCCAGGCGCCCCTTTTGGTAGAAGTTCTTCTGTACTGTTGGATTTTTAAGTCATGTGTATGTATCATTTTTATTAAAAACAAAACAAGAAGACTTTAAACCCACATTCCTAAATATCCTTTAAAAACAACAACAGTGAAGATAGTTTTGCAGGAGTATAATATGCATAACTACAAGTGCCAAATAAAAAATAAGGGCATCATAAGAAACTGATGGTGGCTTCTATGATCAGGGAGCACTCCTTGGAGGAGGTGGGATATGAAGATTCTTAAACAATTGATCGAGGTTATATTGAGGGACGGGGTCTGGGGTGTCACCATCCATCTTCCCAAAGACTGCAGACTCATCACCTCTTGTGTGTGTGTGTGTGTGTGTGTGTGTGTGTGTGTGTGTGCGCACGCGCCTGTCTCATGATCTCTTCATTTCTTTCTTTCTCTGTCACTATGTCTGTCTCTCCATTTTTCTCTGTATTTGTCTCTCCCTCTCTGTGTCTCTGTCCCTGACTGTCTCCGCATCTTTTTCTCTTGGCCTTTCCCTTTCTCTCTACATTTATCTCCCCACCTACCACTCTATCTCTCTTTGTCTCCCTCTCCAACCCCCTGATTTCCTTTCTCTCTTGACTGCTGTCTCTCTCTGTCCCTCTTTGTCTCTCTCTTGTTTTCTGTGTCTCTGTCTTTCTGCCCCACTGTCTCTCTTCCTTTACTTGTTTCTTTGCGTGTGTCCCTGTATGACTCTCTTTCTCTTTCTCTCTCTCTCTATCCACCCCCCCCCCACCTTGGGCTCTGTGTTTCTCTTTCTCCTGGTCTTGGTCTCTCTACCTATATCATCTCCATCTTCCTGTGTGTGTGTGTGTGTGTGTGTGTGTGTGTGTGTGTGTGTGTGTGTGACCTCCATCCACTCATCAGAGAGAAGGATGACTTGTGGCAGAAGGTCCAGCATCTCTCTTCCATGGCCCCTGGATGCTGTGTTGACTGCAACAAGGTCTTTGGCCGGCTGTCTCGGCGGTACCCGTGCAGGTAATGGGGAGAGCACAGAATTTTTTCTCTGGGACAGCACTGTTTCCACCAGCCCACAACACTCTACCCACTCTGGGAAGGGAGATGTCACAGGAGCTGGGTGTTTATGAAAGCCACTTAAAGCTGACCATTCACTTTACACAACATTTAGCCTAGACATGAACTAGAACAGTGGAGGAGAATCAGGCAAGCAACAGTGTCTGGAAGATGGGACAGTGCCAGCCTTCCGAGAAGAGACTGATTAACAGGCTCCTGGTCTGGAAGAGATCTGTACAGAGGAAGCTGCTCCCCTCCCCTTCCTCCGGGAACACAGTGGCAGGACAAGCCGAGAAAGAGAGGGAATGAGGGCCAGCAAGAGAACCTGTGTTGACATTTAGAGGACTCTGGAGGGGTTGGGGCACTGGGACACCCTTTAGGAAAGGGGAGCCCTCCTGGGACGCACCCAGGGCTGCTCTGATGGGAGAGAAACATCCTTCCCTCCCCCATACACACCCTCGAGCTCCCCACTCTTCCCACCTCTGCTCCTAGGCTCTGTGGAGGCCTGGTTTGCCATGCCTGCTCTGTGGATTACAAGAAGAGAGGGCGCCACTGCCCACCGTGCTCCCAGAAGGGAGGAGCTCAGGTCGACCGATGAGATCACCCAGGATTGGCCACCCACCCCAACCCATCAGCTTCCTCCCCTCCGCCCTTCCCACCCCTCTGGTCTGACCAGTCCTGCCTTTTTTCTAAAAGGTTGGTGACCTAAGGCCAATAGCACTTGTGTGAGCATTCTGTGGTGTGGGAGTGGAAGGAGCCAGGCTGGATGCAGGAGGCAGGAGGCAGGTTGGAAGCCTGCATCCACCATCCGTGAGCTGAGTGACCTGAGAGAGCTCACAGCTGCCTGGGCCTCTTCTGCAAGTGAGAGCACCAGGCACCATCCTCTCTAAAGTTCCTCCGGGCTCAGAATGTCCTTGACCAAGAAGAAGGCCCAGGGGCTCTGACATTCTTCCCCACTCCCACCTCACCCATCCCACCACTCACCACACTCAGGAGCACCCTATCTGCTTTGAAGGTCTGCTTTTGTTGCGTTTTGTGTTTAACAGCTTTCTTGAGTTACTATTGACATTTAACACACTTCACATAAATTGTACAATTTGGTGAGTCTTCACTTTAATATACACACATGAAACCATCACCATACTCAAAATAATGAACATCATTCCCATCATTCCCAAAGTTTCTTCATGTCCTTTGTAACCTCTCCCTCTTCCTCCTCTCTCCCTGGCACCCACTTATCTGCCTTCTATCACTGGAGACTAGTTTTCCACAATTTTATATAAGTGGAATCCTAATTATGTTCTCTTTATTTTCTGCCTTTCAATAGTCCCTTTTTACTGTTGAGTAGTATTCCACTGCATGGGTATACCACAATTTATTAACACATTCAGTTATTGCCAGATATTTGGACTGTTTCCAGTTTGAGATTGTTATAAATACCTTTCCTATAACCATCTGTGTACAAAACTTTGTATAGACATTTTTTTTAAAGATTTTTCTTTTTTAAAGTAATCTGTACGCCCAATGTGGGGCTTGAACTCACACTTTCAAGATCAAGAGTTGCTTGCTCTACCCACTGAGCCAGCCAGGTACCCCTAGACATTTGCTTTTATTTCCCTTGGGTAAATACCTGGGAATGAAATTGCCAGGTCCTATGACAAAAGTCTATGTTTAGCTTTTAGGAAACTGCTGAGTTGTTCCCAAACGAGTTGTGTGTTGGCTTTTCCCACCAGCAGTGTGTGGGGGTGCCAGTCACTTCACAGGGCTTCTGGTTTAGTGAGCAGGAGAGGAAGCTCAGACGAGAGGCTGGGGCTTCTCTGTCCTTCCCTTCTAACACTGTGGTGACTCGGTCAGTCTCAAGTTGTGAGTGCCTGGACGGAGGGGCTAAGTCTAGGTGACTTTCTATGCTGTGCTCACTCAACTAGACTTTAATAAAGATAGTTATGAAGATTTTTGTAGCTTTATGGTACAGGATCCTATCCCCTGACAGCCCAAGAAGTCTTATGCAAATTATGTGTCATTCACTGGACACCCAAATGTGGTGCTTCTGAGAATACTGTTTCCGAAGAAGCGTGGGCCCTACTCTGCACCAAGGGGATTAGCTGCCCTATCTGAGCTCCAGGGCAGACTTTGTGGCCCCAAATAGGCATGCGTGCTGTTATGCACATCCCCTCTGCCTCACACAGACTGCCAGAGCCTCTGTAGCAGTTGGGCAACCTTGTGGCTCTGACCAGTGCCTGTGGACCGCCCCTTGGGGTCAGGGCCACCCAGAGTTGCATCCCATTACCATAGCATGGAGCAAGAGTTTTGCAATAGCAGTTCCTGCCCTGGAGAGCTGGTAAGAACTTCTCCTTAGCAAAGGCTACAACAAGGTGAGGGGCACGGAACGGAGGGAGTGGAGGAGGGCAGGGCTGGGGCTCTGGAGCAATCAGGGCAATAGAATCCCCCCTACCCTAAAGGACAGCAATCCCTTGTCAAGGATTAGATTTGCTCAGATACTTTTATTAGGTTCTTATTATCGTGGGAGATATCATATTCTGGTAGAACTCTACCAGTGTCAAGTTCAGGTCTGCCTGAGGAATTGATGGGAGAGAAGAGAGCTAGCAGAAGCCAACGTTCAAAGAGAAGGCAAGGTGCTCCTGGACAAGAATTTATTGGAAGGAAATCGGGGGCCAGAAATAGGGGAGCTTGACCTTCTCCCTACTTGGGAGGGATGGAAGGTCTATGCTGAGGACCAGCCTCTAGCTCAACACTGCCCCCCTAAGAGTTCCTATCAACTCCAATGAAGAGCACAAAAGCTCTACAAAGACATTGGAAGAGCTTGTTAGACCTTGGCGATCCCCTGGCAAAAGGTTCTACCAAGGGTACCAGTACCTCAGCAGTGACCCCAGCACACATGTCTAGTGCAGCAGCACGCAGAGGAGTGCCCAGGAGACACTCTCAACAGACTCCCTCAGATTCCTGGAGAACACCTTATAGGGAGATGAAGCCCTGAATGAGCACGGAGGGTTTAAGCCACTGCGATTTGGCTTTATTGCTATTGATGTGACTTCATTCATGCTCATAGGCTGAAGATACCCTAGGAAATTTTGGCAACATAATTATTTCTTTAAATTAGATGTCATTCAGATCCTCCAATGTACATCAATCCCCTACTTTGTCAACTCATTCAGTGCTCAACAAAATTACATGAAGCACCCACAATATGCCAAACAACTGTGATTGGTTTGGGGATACAAAGACTTTATATATATATATATATCATACTTATTATATATAAAATCCCTGCTTTTAAGAACCTCACAGTGGGGAGGAGGGAGCAGCCAGAGATTACAAACTCCCTAACGAAGCCATGATAGAGGTAAGCCCCAGGCGTGGGGACAGCACAGAGAGAGGGCTGAATTCCATACAGGTCATGACTGGGCTGAATCTAAAGGGTAAAAGGAGAGGCACCTGGGTCACTCAGTCAGTTAAGCATCTGATTCTTGATTTCCACTCAGGTCATGATCTCAAGGTTTGTGAGTTCAAGCCCCGTGTCAGGTTGTGTGCTGATAGTGTGGAGCCTGCTTGGGATTCTCTCTCCCTGTCCCCACCCTACTTGCATGCACTCTCTCTCAAAATAAATAAATAAACTTAAAATTTTTTTAATTTTTTAATGTTTACTTTTGAGGGGAAAAAAGGAGACAGAGCGCAAGAGGGGGAGGGGCAGAGGGGTGGGGTGGGGAATGCAGATTTCAAAGCAGGCTCCAGGCTCCAGAGCACAACGTAGGGCTCAAACTCAAACTGCAAGATCATGACCTGAGCCAAAGTTGGATGCTTAACTGACCGAGCCACGCAGGTGCCCCAAACTTTAAAAAATGTTTAAAGGAAAATAAAGAGTTGGCCAGACCAAGAGGGTAAGGAAGAACCTTCCAAGGGGAAGGGAAATGCATGCCAGGCTCTGTGGGGAACCAAACAGTTCTTTGGGGAACTGCAAGTACTTCCCTGTGGCTATAGTTAAGGGGTCAGGGGGATGTGGCCTGAAACAAGGCTAGAGAAGTACACAAGGTCACATGCAGAAGCACCAGGTGCCCTGATCAGGAGGTGGACTCTACCTGAAGTCAATGGGGGTCCTCCAAGGGGTTTAAAATGAAAAGAACATGATCAAATTCACACTTTTGCTTCCAAAAGTTCTGAGAGCAGAGTAGAGGATGGTTTGAGGGGGAAAGATTTAAGGCAGAGATCACTTAAGAGTCTAGTTGTAACTTGTGGGGATGAGCACTGAGTGTTATGTGGAAACTAATTTGACAATAAACTATTTGTAGAAAAAAAAAAAGAGTCTAGTTGTAGCTGTCATGGCGGTGGGGGTGGTGATGTGGTGGTGGTGGTAGTAGCAGTGGTAGTAGTAATAGTAACAGCAGTCACAAACAATGCCAAGCACCATTCTAAGTGCTTTATAAATACAGACTCATTTAATCCACGTGACAACACTATAAAATGCAGTGGGTGTTTTCAATAGCCCCATTTTCCAGATGATGAGACTGAGACCCAGTGAGACTAAATAACTTCCCCAAGGTCTACAGTCCAGCTCCAGAATCCACAGCTATTGCATGAGGACTACAGTAGTTTAGACGAGAGACAATAAAGTATTGCCTAACGCTGTCAGGGAAGATGGCGAGGAAGTGATAATTAAGAGAGATGCTAAAGAGATAGTCTCTGAGAGAGGGGTGTGCCCGGGGCAGGCCATTTCCAGTTGGGCAGATGCCAAGCTAGGAGGGTGGGGTTGGGATTCCGAGACTGGTTTTCTACCTGCTGAGCTTGTAGCACCTGTGGAGCTTCAGCAGAAAGTTTAAGAGGTGGCCGTGTGAGGAGTTGGAGCTTAGGAGAGAAGTGTAGGTGGAAAGGCAGGAGCGAAAGGTGTGGAAGACTCTGACCCTTATTGGGTGGTCGCTGAAGCCAAGATGGGGCAGGTGTCTGGCCTGGAGAAGACAGGGAGAGAGGAGGACCCAGGCAGAGCTCCGAGGAACATTCAGATTTGAGGAATGAATTGAGAACTAATGACCCAAAATAAGACGAAGAGAGAGAGATGCAGGAGGAAAAAGAAGAGAATAGGCTCAATGGGATTAGATGCTACAGAGGTCAAATAAGACTTGAACAATAACCATTTCCCTATAAATACAGTTACAGGGCATACAACAGACTGGAGGAAAATATTCTAACACAATTGGCAAACATAGCATGAATGGATAGGATAATGGGTCCTTTTGTAAACTGACAATGGGAGAATAAATTGATACAGTCTTTTTATTGAAGGATGGTTGACATATAATGTTACATTAATTTCAGGTGTACAACACAGTGGTTCAGACAACTCTTTGCATTACGCCATGCTCACCTCAGTAAGTGTAGCCCTCATGAGCTGGCACAGCCTTATCAAAATTTAAATGTGCACCCATATGACCCAGAAAAATTATAATTAAGTGACACAATCATGCAAGTTCCCAAAGACTGACATCCAAAGATGTTCGTAGCAAAATTTAAATATTCATCCATAAGGTAATTATCAAATAAATCGTGATACCCCCGCACCATGGACTAGTACCCTGTCACTGAAAAGAGTAAGATAGATCTATATGCACTGATGCGTAATAGGTCCGTGACAGCGTAGTAAGGTGCAGGATGATATATGTAGTTAACTATCATTTGTTTTAGGGAAGGAAAGAAGGAAAACATGCTTGTATGTGCATGGGGGAGAGTCTGGAAAGATGGACACAGCGTATATGTGAATCTAAGGATGGAAAGAGTCCTTTCTGTTTGACTCTGGATGCTTCTGCAGTGCCTCTATTCTTCACAATAGTCATGCTTTGTTTTTACAATATTAAAGTGGCTTGATTTCGGAAAAGGGCTTATGGGAGGCAGTGACCTGAGGTTGTTGGTAATGTTGGCAAGAGCTGTGTCAGCAGAGCGATGGGAAAGGAGCTAGCTACAGCGGGCTGAGGGGTGAACAAGAGGTGGTGAGGTGAAGACAGTCCCCACGTTCTCCGGAAGTCTGCCTGGTGAGGAAAGCACTGGGGGAGTGGTAGCTGGAGGGGTCCTCCAACAGAGGGAGAGCTAGAAGGACATAAGCCAGCTCAGGGAAAGGGATGGTGGATGGGGCAGAGGGGCGAGGAGGTAGGACCCTCAAGGATGTGAGAGGCACTGTGTTCCACAGCCAGTGCAGGAATTTACCAGAAAGAGAAGAAGGGACACTTCTCACGCTGACCCTAGAAGGAAGGAAGAAGGTATGCAACAAGGGCACGCAAGCGTGTTCATGGGACCGGAGTTGCCCACATCTTCCTTGTAAAGAAGGAGGTGTGGTTTTGGCACGCTCAGAGACAGAGGTGGACAACGCACACCTCCACCTTCAGACTGGCAGACTACTCCAGAAGCCATTAGGCTTTCAGGTAGGCATGAAAGTCCCCGGCACCCGGCACAGAATCCCAGGTGGGTCCTTGGCCTAGAGTCAGAGTTTCAGGACAGACCTGATTGCTCTTCTGAGGGAACACTTCCCCTGCTGGGCCTCCTGGAATTCACCCTGGGCGACTCCAGGTCTGAGGTTTCCCCATAAAGTCTGTTTCACTTTTTTTCCTGTCCAACAGCCCCGACTGCTTCCAGCCCTGAGTCACAGAGGAGGTATCAGTGACCACTCCAGTGACAACAGCAGCTATAGTAGCGACTACAGGTAAGTGAGTATTGGGCTGAGGGTCGCCAGGGGCGTATTTCTGATGGACATGACTTTGAAACTTTAGTCTCCTCCACTGAGCCCTGCGAGAACCTGGGTGACGAATTGCAGAAACGTAGAGCTAAAGGCAATGAAGTCTTCACCTGGCCAGCTTGGCACAAAAGAACTTTCTTTTGTGTGAGAGTGTGAGTGTGAGAGTGCTCTCAAACCCTTGAACCCTTGAAAGGCGGCTGGTATGACTGAGGAACTAAATTTTTTGTTTTATTTTAACTAAATTTAAGTAGTTACTTATGTCTAGTGGCTATCATACTGGACAATACAGATCTAGAACAATGGCCTCATTTCCCAATAGGCCACATCAAGGCCCAGAGAGAATTGACTTGTCCAAGTTCATCTTGACCATCAGCAGCAGAACCAGCCCGTTCTTTATTCACCCCAACATCCATATGCAAGTGGTGGGTTCAGGGGAAATGAAATCACCCAGTGGAAGTCAAGAAGCTGGCAGGTGGGGAAATGTCAAATCTGGGCTCCCCTTTCGACACCTTTTTACTCAGTTACCTGGGATAGAGAAGTACCTAACAGAGCTCAGAAAGCTGAGGTTGGAGATCTGGTCCCTTGTTCACATTGGAAAGAATACAGGATTTAAGGTCAGGTTAAAAAACGTTGCTTAAAAATCATTTAAGGAGTACCTGGGTGGCTCAGTCAGTTGTCTGTCCGACTTTGGCTTGGGTCATGATCTCGCAACTCGTGAGTTTGAGCCCCACATTGGGCTCACTGCTGACAGCCTGTCAGCACAGACACCACTTCGGATCCTCTGTCCCCCTCTCTCTGCCCCTCCCCCACTTGCACTCTCCCACAAATAAATAAATATTTTTTGAAAAAAAATTGTTTAAAACCCAGTATGCTGAGTGAAATAAGTCAGGCAGAGAAGAACAGATACCATATGTTTGCGCGTATAGGAGGATTAGGAGGAACTTAACAGAGGACCATGGGGGAGAAGAGAAAAAATAGTTGGGGAGAGGGAGGGAGGCAAACCATGAGAGACTCTTGAATGCCGAGAACAAACTGAAGACAAATGGGGTGGGGGGGGGTAGGGAAAGGGGAGTGATGGGCATGGAGGAGGGCACTTGTTGGGATGAGCACTAGGTGTTATATGGAAACCAACTTGACAATAAACTATTTAAAATAAATAAATAAAAATAAAACCCAGTTCCCTGTGTCACTCTGATGAAGTTGCTTAACCCCCAGGGCCCAGTTTCCTCATTCAGAAAGTGTGTACTTCACAGGTTTGTTGAGAGGATTAAATGTACAAATTCTTTTTTAAAAAAAGATTTTATTTTTAAGTAATCTTCACACCCGACATGGGATTCAAACTCACATTCCTGAGATCAAGAGTTGTTTGCTCTGCCACCTGAGCCGGCCAGGTGCACCTAAAGTACAAATTCTGAAAAGCACTTTTCCCCAAAGCTGGACCTTGGTAGGCACTCAACATTACAGCTAATGTGACTATTGTCATCCAGTTCAGAGAAAGTGAAAATGTACATCAAAGTCAGCCTGGGAAGCACATCCGTTGGTTTTCCTTGCTTTGGAGTATAGGGGGAAAGATATTATGGTGTAGCTGATACACTATTTCAGTAACAAAGATCACAATGATCAAGGCTAACATCACGATTTCTGTGCGTCTCAAGAGCTCTACGGGTAATTCTTCACTCAGTCCTCAACACAACCTGATGTGTTAGATGCTATCATTGGTCTCATTTTACAGATGAGTAAACTGAGACTCGGAAAGGAAAAGTCACTTGCCTAGAGTTGCTCAGCTAGCAGAATCCTTAATCTACTTTCATGTGCCTCTTTCTTGTATAACGAGCTTCTGTCTGGTTCTGGCATCACCTGGCCAGGGGCCATTGCATTCTCCAGCCTGGGAAAGAGAGGGGTGACAAAGAACGTGTGCTCAGTAGCTGGACTCAGAGGTTCTTTCCTGGGAGCAGGCAGCCGGGGCGAGTTTGCTGCAGGCTTTGAGAATACTCCGCAGGACCAAGAGGCTGGGGTGAGGCGTAGTGGAGGGGGTGGAGGCATTGTTCGCTGGGGTGGGGGCTTGGGAGGGGACCATGAATTAGTGTTCACTCATCTGCTTGTATTTATCCTTTCAACTGTAATCCATAGCAAATGTGACAAAATCTATTCCCGGTGCCACCCAACACTGCTTTCAAAAATGTGTTTGGACTTGGATATGTTGTTAATTGTTCCCAAAAGGCTTTCTTTCCAAATTAGATGGTTGACTCCCAAGGTGGTAGCTACAGCGGACCCAATCCCAAGTGCACAAGCCAAGAAAGAATTGCAATGTCCTCAGAGGAGCCTCTGGTCAGAGCAGATGGCTGGGCAGGGAGGTAGAAGACAAGAAAGTGGGGCCCCCACTTGGCGGTGGGGGTTCTCACACGGATGTGACATGGAGAAGGAATCTGTGAGGCTTTAAGGGTTCCTGGGGTGAATGGCATGGGGGCAGGAGGCAGGAGGAGATGAGACTATCTCTGTCGTCTTCATGAGCTGATGAGCTGTTCTCCTTTGAGATGTGAAAGGTTCAAGGGCAGGAGGGCTGCTGGCTCATGGGGGGGGGGGGGGGGGCCCGAGGCAGCTGGAGAGTGGAGAGCATCAGACAAGGCTGCTGAAAGAACCAGGGCAAAGGTGAGAGAAATCCATGCCGTCCTGGGCAAACCACTGCCTGTGTGTGGGCCTCAATTTCCTCGTCTGTGAAATGGAAAGATTGGCTAGAAAACACCCTATGTCCCTTACCAGCATGGAACTCTACCGTTCCAGAAAATGACTGGTGGTCCAAGAGCTGACCTAGGAATTAATTCTTCACGTTATCAAAAGCATCCAGCACTCTCAGGACTCCACCCTAGAATTGAGCAATCTAATCCACCACTCACTTCCTCCACTGTGTTCTCACCACGGCCGCCCTGTCAGTCAGGCACATCTGCCCTCCTGGATGCGTCCTACAGGTGAAAGTCCCAGACTCCTGGTAAGTCTTGGAACACCTACCCCCCTCACCTTCGAGAATGTCTCTGTCCTCTGTCCCCCTTGACACCCAGCCTCTGTTCATCCCAGACATCTCCCCCCACCCTGGATGGGCTTCATGCCTCTTTATGCCTCCCTGTCCCCAAAGGGAGCCTCTGTCCCTTGTCCCTACACCTCTCTCCAACAACCGCTTAGGGCAACTCTCTTCCCACCCCCTTCCCTTCCTAACTCAGCCAGCTCTCCTGCTTTGGCTAGGATTAGGTCTGAGGAAGGGACACACATTGTTGAGTTCCCCCTCCCCTATATTAAATGCAAATATGTGTGGATTATATTTATATTTATAGAGAGAAAGAATGCGAAAATTGTATTGAAATGACTGATTTTTCTATTGCTGTTGAAAAGATTGCCTTCAATGTTTGGGATCTTGTAAATATCTCCTTTTTAGAGCATTTCCATAAAATAAATTGGACTCATCCCATCCATGGAGTTTTTGAACGGCCGTGAGTCATCAAGGGTATGGCCATCTCACTCGGTGAGGGAGTCTCCTGCTTGTTCACCGAGAGCTTGACTGGGTTGTCCGTAGCAGCCAGCCAGGTCAAAGGTGTTTGGTCTGTCATTCCTGCAAGGGCTGTTTCTTTCATTCTGGGGCTACAGAATAGCTAAGGAAGCACTCCACAAAACAGCAAACAGTAGGAATCAACTGTATACAGGCTGACCTCAGGAGATCTCGAGAACTTAGCTTTCAAATATATTTAATAGATGAAGTATGATTTTTTTTTTTTTTAACAAAGCAAGTCTGTAGACTGTAAGTAACAGGTGGAGACGTCCACACCTGCTTGGTATCCTGGTTGCAGCACTCGCAGGCTCTGTGGTCCTGGGCTGGTTTCTGTGCCTCTCTGTGCCTCTCTTCTCACTGTAAACAGGGGCTAATCATATCTGTTTGTGACCGTCAAGGAAGACCGCATGCCTAGGAGGCACAAAGCAGATCTCAGACACGTCAACTCCCTTCCTTTAGTTTCTCCCTTTTACTGTCAAAACATCCTCCCTAGAGATTGGTAAATTGAAAACTCAACCAGCAACAACAAAGCATCGTCGTCCCCGCCCCCCACGCCCCTCCCCCCAGGGCTGGGGTTCATTGCCTTAGCCTGGGTCTCTTTCTTGAGCTCTCTGCCTTCCATTCTGACTTGTAGGGTCTCCCTCTGGACCTTCAAGCTGACCCTTCGCGCCTGGGAGTGGGATGTCACCCATGGATCTCCAGCCCACCACCAGTACAGCTGAGCCCTGGAATAGCCAGAATCAGGACATATCAGTGAAACATGCTTGATTGCTGCTGCCTGTTCCAATAGGGCAGTTTCTGTGGCCGCCTTAGCCCTGTCTTCTCAAAGCCAGTGCTCATAAATGGGGGGGGGGGGGTTTCCTCTCTGCGGACACAAGCTCTGCACCCACTCTCAAAAGTGAGACTTCTCTTAGGTCACTTTTTTCCCTTGAGAGCATCTCTGGTCATCAGTTCCCAGAGGTGACCCACCGTTGACCTTGTGACTTCACTGGACGTAACGCCGGGATAAACATGCTCTTGTCCATGGGACTGCGGAGCCTGTGACTTGCAGGTCTTGCCAACAACCGTGGCTGAGCCAGCTGTCCCTCTGCCACTACCATCTCACTCTCCTGGCTGGACAGAGCACCCCCACCACCACAGACTGATCGAATCTGCACTGTCTGTGGTCTCCATGGGTTAAGAGGCCGGCTTAACTGACCTCCATTATCTAGGGAAAATAGTAATAACTTCCCAGGAAAGTGAAGGCTAAGAATTTTGTCACTCAGGGGAAAAGGCATTACTTTTCCAGTGTCTCTTAACCCTAGTCAGCTTTCTTCTTTGCTACGTATGACTGACAATTACAGACTCTTCTGCTAAAGAGAAAGGCTCCCTGGGAGTTTCGTTGCTAATGTTGTTGTTTTACTATTTGTATCTGCTTTTCAATGTATTTACCATTGAGGTTTTTTTTCTAGTTGAGATATAATTCACACAGTGTAAAGTCACCTGCTTCCAGTGTACTAGAAGTTCTTAATATATGCACAGAGCTATACAATCATCACCACTGTCTGAGTCCTAAACACTTTCATCACCCTGAAAAGCGACCCTGTTCTCATTAATATTCCCCTCCCTCCAGCCCCTGGCAAACACCGATCTACTTTCTGTCTTTACTGATTTGCCTATTCTGGACATTTATCAGACATAGACCCATCCAGTATGAAGCCTTTTATGTCTGGCTCTTTTCACTTGGAATACTGTTTTCAAGGTTCACCCAGGCTGTAGCAAACATCAGTGCTTTGTTCCTTTCTGTGGTTGGATACTATTGCCTTGTTTGTCTATGCCACAATTTGTTTATCCGTTTATTGGATGATGGGCATTTGAGTTGTTCCCATTTTTTGGCAATGATGATCCTATGAGCATCTGTGTACAAATTTCTGTGTGGACATACATTTTCAATTCCTTGCATACATACCTAGACGTGCAATTGCTGGGTCATTGGTAACTATGTTTAACTTTTTGAACAACTGCCAAACTGTTTTCCAAGGTAGCTGCACCAGGGGTCCAATTTCCCCACATCCTGGTCAACATTGTTACTGTCCATCTTGTTTTACTATGATGATCCTAGTGAGTATTGAAGTAATTCCAGTACTTTCCATCTTTCTCTTTGATACTGGTTCCGTTTTGAGGTGGCTCACAGACTTGCATATGGTCACAGGATGGTCATCTTCAATATAACGAAATGGCACAGTGGTGATATATTTTGTGGTCCGAAAGGAACTAATTTGGTAGCTAGTTTATTTTAATTTACTTCCTCTTGGAAAACTGGGCTCGTATTTCAGAGTGACTGCAGCTTCCTCCAGAGGCAGGCTTCGGGCTATCCTCATAAAAAGGGCAGAGCCAAAATCAGTGGGCTTATCTGGGGGGTGCTGGGGTGCTGGGGTGTCAAGGATGGATGAAGGCACTCCCTGGCAGGACAGAGAGTATCCCCACCAGAACTGGAAAGCCACCAAAGCAAGGAGAGTTTGCCTTGACCTGTCTTCTCTGCTTCCTCCTGCCTCTGCTCCTCATGCTGGGAGCACGCTGGCTTTCTCTGCTCACCTCTGCATGACAGAATATGGCTGCTCAGAGCTCCCAAGGGACTCTGTAACATTGCCACCCACTTGGAGAATCGATCAGCCACCTGCTTAGGGTTTTGAATGTATTTTTTCCAAACTATACAAATACTGTCTCCGGGTCTCCTGCATCCGGAAAGAAAAATACCGGGCTGTACTGAGTAAACTTTCTTTCTTCTAGCTCAAGTATCTTGCAACTGTATGCTGTTACCGCTAAATCTGTTTTCCCACACACTTCCTTGAAATAACTTTCAAAAAGTTGGACAAAGGGATTCCTCCCTCAGCTTTATAGTCAAACCTCGATCTTTTTCTAGTGGTCAAACCCAATTGAATTGCCTCCTTCATTCCCCAGATCAAGAACTAAAGGGTAACTCATATTTCTGACATTAAATTCAGCCTCAACAGCCAGAGATGTTAACTACTGAAGAATCCATGGCATGCCCTATAGGAATTATTTGAAGGGAAGTTTCAACAATGTTTTGGATGTCATGGAAAGTGCTCAGAAGGTACTCTCTGGCTTTGAAGGGCACCATACTTGTCATACAATATACCGTTTATCACTAAGTAAATGAGTCCCAAAGCCCTAGAGCCACTACTATTTCCTACCATGAAACTTGCCTGCATGGGATATACAAGCCAAAGCAAGAGTCCTGTCCAAATTTCATGCGCAAACAGGCTATAGTCTGGGGAAATGTTCCTGTGCAATAACTCTCATCTCTCTTCTCTAGGCCGGGATTTAAGTTTGCTTCAAAGATGGAAATGGACTGGGATAATTACAGCTTGGAAGATCTCTTCGGTGATGCAGAAAATTATAGTTACAACACTGACCTGCCTTCTATTCTATCAGACTCAGCCCCATGTAGGCCAGAATCTCTGGAAATCAACCAGTATGCCATCGTGGTCATCTATGCCCTGGTTTTCGTGCTGAGCCTGCTGGGAAACTCCTTAGTGATCCTGGTTGTCTTATACAGTCGGGTCAGCCGCTCTGTCACTGATGTCTACCTGCTGAACCTGGCCATAGCCGACTTGCTCTTCGCCCTGACCTTGCCTATCTGGGCTGCCTCCAAGGCAAAGGGCTGGATCTTTGGCACACCCCTGTGCAAGGTGGTCTCTTTTCTGAAGGAAATCAACTTCTACAGCAGCATCTTGCTGCTGGCCTGCATCAGCGTGGACCGCTACCTGGCCATCGTCCATGCCACACGCACACTGACCCAGAAGCGGCACTGGGTCAAGTTCATATGCATAGGCATCTGGGCTCTGTCCCTGATCCTTTCCCTGCCCATCTTCATCTTCCGCAGGGCCTTCAATCCTCCCTATTCCAGCCCAGTCTGCTATGAGGACCTGGGTGCCAATACTACAAAATGGCGGATGGTGATGAGGGTCCTGCCCCAGACCTTCGGCTTCCTCCTGCCCTTGTTGATCATGCTGTTTTGCTATGGACTCACCCTGCGCACGCTGTTTGAGGCCCACATGGGGCAGAAACACCGGGCCATGAGGGTCATCTTTGCTGTCGTGCTCGTCTTCTTGCTCTGCTGGCTGCCCTACAACCTGGTCCTGGTGGCAGACACCCTCATGAGGCTCCGGGTGATCAAGGAGACGTGTGAGCGCCGCAGTGACATTGGCCGGGCCCTGGATGCCACCGAGATTCTGGGCTTCTTCCACAGCTGCCTCAATCCCCTCATCTATGCCTTCATTGGTCAGAAGTTTCGCCATGGACTCCTCAAGATCATGGCCATCCATGGGCTCATCAGCAAGGAGCACTTGTCCAAGGACGGCAGGCCTTCCTTCGTTGGCTCTTCTTCAGGGAACACTTCTACTACCTTCTGAGCCCCTGCCCCTGTTGCAGCCCCTCAGGGCTCCTGCCTGGCCCTCAGCACCCCATTCCAAACCTCATGCCCAGTATCAAGGCAGCCTCCATATCAAGGCAGCCTCTGTTGTGGTTACAAGAAGTTACTGGGCCATGTCCTTGTCAGACCCCCATTGCATGGTTTAGAAAACCTGCCCTGGGGGCCCCTCCCCTTACTGTAGTTGCTATGTCAGCAGCTAGAGCTCAGTCCATCCTACCACTGAGCCTATAGCACTCTGGTCTCAGAGACACTTAGAGACATTTAAAAGACATTCTTTTTAAGTGACTACAGAAAGTTCCCACCATTGGGAGCCATTAGTGGCAAATGGCATTAGTTGCTGCCCCAACTCTCCCTTTCTTGCCTGTCAGCAAAGTCCACTTCCCTCGAGAGAGGCCAAAAAAGCCAGGTACTTCCTTTCTAAGACTCCCTTATGCTGGGAGTGGTCTTATCATTCACTTCTGACTAATAAGATTCAAGGGCAATAGTGTGCCGGTCAATCATTCTGGGGAAAAAAGTCCTGACTTGTAGCATTTGCCAAGTTGTCTGGTTTAAATGCTCCCACCGTGGCGATTTCAAGGGTGGTGGTGTTTAGTAACCAGCTCACAAAAATCTAGGAAATGTAATGATCTGCTTTCACAAACAGGTACAAACTGGCTTCAGCACACCATTGCTTAAGAGGAAATCTGCTGGGGCCGGAGGATTCCCGAGTAGTATTCCTGATTGAAAAAAGAAAGGCATACACACACACACACACACACACACACACACATCCTTGATTCTTGCCGTTAAATGTGGTTGTAGGATATAATGTGACAAAGAGGCAAAAAGTATACCAAACACACTTAGGCAGATGGAGTTAAAGAATAAAAAGGACCAGAGAATGAATAGCCCAGAAGGAAACCTAAGCATAAATGGTCAAATGGTTTTCAACGAGGGCACCCAGACCCTTCAATGGGGAAAGGATAGTCTTTCAACAAATGCTGCTGGGAAAACTAGATATTCACATGCATAAGAATGAACTTGGTCTCTTCCCTTACACTATACACAAAAGTTAACTCAAAATGGATTGAAGACCTAAACATGAGAGCTTCAGTGATAAAACCCTTAACAGAAACATAGAGGAAAAGTTTTATAACATTGAATTTGACATTGGATATGACACCAAAAGCACAAGCAACAAAAGAATGAATAGAGAAATTAGATTTCATCAAAGGTGAAAGCTTGTGTACATCAAAGGGTACCATCAACAAAGTGGAAAGGGAAACCATGGAATGGTTGGAAATATTTGCAAATCATATATCTTATACAGGTTACTATCTGCAATATATAAAGAATTCGTACGATCCAACAACAACAGATAGTAACAAGTGTTGCCAAGGATACGGAAAAACTGGTGGAACCCTTGCGCACTGTTGGTGGGAATGTAAAATGGTGCAGCTGCTGTGAAAAACAGTGCCTCAAAAGATGACATCTAGAATTACTATATGATCCGGCCATTTCACGTCTAAGTGTATACCCAAAAGAATTGAAGACAGAGCCTCAAACAGATATTGGTACACTAGTGTTCATGGCAGCATTATTCACAATACCCAAAAGAGGAAAACATCCCAGATGTCCTTCAATGGATGATGGATCAACAAAATGTTGGATATACATACAATGGAATATTGTATTCAGTCTTAAAAATGAATGAAATTCTGATACAGGCTACAACATGTCTGAACCTTGAAAACATTACACTAAGTGAAATCAGCCAGACAGAAATATTGTATGATTCCATTCATCAGAAGTACCGAGAAGAGTCAAGTTCATAGAGATGAAAGGTAAAATAATAGTTACCAGGAGCTGGGGAGAGGAGAAAATGGGAAGTTATTGTTTAATGGGTATAGAATTCAGCTGAGGAAGATGAAAGGTTTCGAAGATGGCTCGTGGTGATAATTGTGCAACAGTGTGGATGTGCCTAATGCCCCTAAACTGTATACTTAAAAATGGTAAAAATGGTAAATTCTGTTATCTGTATTTTACTACAATGAAAAAAAAAAAAGAAAACAAAGAACTAGTTCCCAAAAGACAACCTTTAGCCACTGAACCAACCATGGAACTATCTACCAATAACTTCTTGTTAAAGGAGAGAATTAAATGTCTTTTTTTTTTTTTTAATAAACCACTTTTAGTAGAGTATTTCATTACTTGCAGCAAAAAGCATCCAAACTGGAAAGTCAGACGAGGGTGAGCAGAGGTCCCGAGTGTAAATTTATTCACAATAAATAAACCCCTTTGCTCTTTATTAGGTACACAGAGAGAAGAACTGAATTAAAGATTGAGGCCAGCTTTTCTACCTCCTTCGTCCCCGGCCCAAGCCTGTTGTTGCTGGTCATGTACTATGGAAGGATATGCGTCCTGGCATCATCTAGAGCTTCTTGTGTCTTTGGGTGAAACCATAGTCAAGAAGGTCAAGGGTGGGATTAGAAAAGCCAAGTGTGTTGACCAAATCAGCTAGAATAAGAAGCAGGAAGTCAGAGAGCTCTCCTGAGTCCAGTCAGTAACCTCTCCTTTGAGTCTCTCACACAAAACATACACTCACACACACGTGCACACATATGCCCATCATTCGGGATTGCCAAAAGCACACTCTTGCAGAATGGGGAAAAGATTTCCATAAGAAACCAAGGATTTGACTCACTGCATTGGCAGTATTTATTGAGCGCCCATCAGCCCAGAGCTCTGGAATATGGCAGAGCCTTCCCTGGCAGACCTCCTGTTCCCAGGCCTTGTCCCTGCAGGGGACAAGAGAGCTCGAACAGCCTGCTAAGGAAATAAGGAGTCAAAGTGCACTATCCCCAAACTTTACCAGGTTCCAATCCCCTTCCTTTTACCCCTTCTCTGACCACTAAATCAAAGAGACAGCCACTGTGGTTCTGAAAAGAGGCCCCTCCAGGGACGCAGGGGCCAACCTCCTGAGCTAGAGTGTTCAGGGGCAGGGAACTAGCACTCCTAACTCAGGAAAGTGCAAACAGGATTAATCCAGGCAACAATTCATCCCTTGGTCTGAACTCATTCTGTGCCAGGCATTGTGCTAAGCTCAGGTCCATGCGTGACTTGCCGTTCTGGCCAAAGGCTTCAGAGCCACTTCTGATTCAGCAGGCTGGAAAGGCAGGCTAATATGTATTTACCAAAGGCCACACCCGAGTTGCCAGAGGGACCGGTGGTGTTCTGACCGAGCATGACGGCGGATGGGCCAGAGGGCTCCCTGAGATCATGGCCAGTGGGAAGTTTCACTCTGGTTCTGGGGCTCTGCTCTTTCCTCCTCTAACAAGGGCTTGCGGAAGCATGTTTCTCCAAAGAAAATAAGAGGATAAAATAAGCCCAGGAGCAATTAGGAGGAGACTGAGTTGCACTTGGGTGTCTGTCAATGTTTCTCTCTCTCTCCCTCTCTCCCCACCTCCTTTGGCACAAGGGACTGACCAACCAAGCCATCTCTAGGAGGAGGCAAATCCCAAGCCTGCCTTTGAGTTGTTGATTTCTTCCTTCCCTCCCATGTTTCCAGGCCTGAGTCCCATGGGCAAGGCCCAGCTCCTTGGTTGCTGTCGGGTTTTTTTGGTTTTTATGTTTTATTTATTTTTGTTTTTTAGAGATAGAGAGAGAGAGAGAGAGAGAGAGAGAGAGACAGTGTGAGCGGGGCAGGGTCAAAGAGAGAGGGAGACACAGAATCTGAAGCAGACTCCAGGCTCTGAGCTTGCTGTCAGCACAGAGCCTGACATGGGGCTCGAACCCACGCACCGTGAGATCATGACCTGAGCCGAAGTCGGACGCTTAACCAACTGAGCCACCCAGGGGCCCCTGTTGCTGTTGTTTTTTAAGGTTATTTATTTTTGAGAGAGAGAACGCGTGACCGAGCGTGAGCGGGGGAGGGGCAGAGAGAGAGGGAGATGCAGAATCCGAAGCAAGTTCCAGGATCTGGGCTTTCAGCACAGAGCTAATGCAGGGCTCAAACCGAACTCACGAACAGAACTGTGAGATCATGAACTGAGCCCAAGTTGGACACTTAACTGACTGAGCCACCCAGGCACCCCCTGGAGCCCAGCATCTTTCTGTCTAGACCTGCCTGCCTCGCCTGAGTGGGGCCCCTCTTGCTCCTGGAGATATAGCCTCCTACCTGCACGAACACCCTACGCCTTTTGTCTCTGTCTCCCAAGTTCACCCCACCTTCCTCCACAGCAATCCCTACCCATTCCCGCCAGGATCGGCTCCCTTTGCCCCTAGATCAGGACAGACGCCAGTGTCTCTTCGGTGACATAAAGAAGTACCTCGAGTTTGCATGTCACATTGAAATTCATCGCATGCAAACCCACATGGAAAACCATGCTGCCCCAGCCCCGAGAGATCTGGAGGCCCCTCCCTCCCCCTCCATCAACCCCTAGAGGACATAAATGAGGAAACTGATGCCCAAGCAAAGCAACTTCATCAAAATCTCATGGCTGGGTCACAGTAGAGCTGAAATACGAATTCCTAGTGTAGTTCATTTTTTCAGATATTTTGATTTTCTAGCGGTGACCCTTCAGGCCCCTTACAAATAGATGGGGACAATCTGTTGTCAGAGCATTCTGCTCGCGTAGGTAGGGCCGGTCTCTACTTCTTTGGTGCCTACACTCATATGAGAGCGTTAAGGGCCGGCTGAGGCTTGAGATCCAGGTTTGGGACAAGCTCAGATGGGGTTACCCTATTCTGAGCTGGTACATAACGCAGTTGAAGAGACAATTGGAGTATAGTGCAAAGTTCAGAGACAGGCAGCACTAAATCCTCTCTCGAGGACATGTTCCCTATCATGCAGGGTTCGGTTAGGGAAGCAGGACCGCTTGGAGGAGAGACAGGTTATAGGGACCTGACTGTATGGCATTGTGGGAGCTGGCTAAACAGTCTAGGTCAAGGCTGTTGTCTTTGCTCCTGGTGCTGGGACCTGGAAGTGGCAGGGCAAGTAGCTGAGAAGGAAAGATCACGTGTAGCAAACACTAATGAGGACAAGTTTATACATGCAAGGGCAGACTGAGACCTGCACTGGCCTCTACTGGCCTTCAAGTTCAACATGTGGATGGCCTGCTGGAGATGTCAATGGCTGTGTCGTGAAGGTCACAGCACCCTGGTTCAGGAGCAGGAAGTACTCCAGAGTCAGGGGCCACCCCACACTAACAAGGGGAGCCAGCAAATAAGGGACAGCATAGAATGGCATCTGCTGGGCGCCTGGGTGGCTCAGCCAGTTAAGCGTCCAACTTCAGCTCAGGTCATGATCTCACGGTTCGTGGGTTCAAGCCCCACATCAGGCACTGTGCTGACAGCTCAGAGCCTGCTTTGGATCCTCTGTCCCCCTTTCTCTCTGCCCCTCCCCCCCTCAAAAATAAATAAATATTTAAAAAAAAAAAAAAGAATAGCATCTGCTGTCTCGTGCAGACCTTCCAGAACATGAAAGAATACAGCTTCTGAAATAAAACATTAAAAAAAAAAAAAAAAAGGGGGGCGCCTGGGTGGCTTAGTCGGTTAAGCGTCCGACTTTTGCTTAGGTCATGATCTCGCGGTTCGTGGGTTCGAGCCCCGCATCGGGCTCTGTGCTGACTGCCAGCTCAGAGCCTGGAGCCTGTTTCAGTCTGTGACTCCCTCTCTCTGACCCTCCCCTGCTCACGCTGTCTCTCTCTCTCTCCTAGAAATAAATAAAACATTAAAAAAAAAAAAAAAGAATACAGCTTCTGCTCCACTCCCGCGTTATAAAGCTCATACAGAAGTCTCTCCTGGCCTATGGCTAAGGTGGAACTAGGCAAGAAAGGAAGTTTGAGAAAACATTATTCCAGTTTAATGAAATTGACTCATTACATATCTTTCACACAAATACAGGTGCAGACTCTAAAGAAGAAGAATGGTTACCACCGCAGTTTGGATATTGTTTATTTAGGGTTTGAATCCATCAGGGAGGAACACACTGGGGTTTTTGAGGGTACTGGTAATACTCTTTCTTAACTTAGATTATAGATACCTTGGATTTGTTGTATCATTATTCTTTCTTTTTTAATGTTTATTTAAAATTGAGAGCGAGAGAATGCACACGTGAGAGTGGGGGAATGGCAGATAGAGACAGGGAGACAGAGGATACAAAGCCGGCTTTGTGCTAAGAGCACAGAGCCCAACTCAGTACTCGAACTCATGAACTGTGAGATCATGACCTGAGCAGAAGTCAAATGCTTCACCAACTGAGCCACCCAGGTGCCCCTGCTGTATCATTATTCTTAAAGCTATAAACACTAGTTTTCTACAACCTGTAGTCTGTATTCTATTCACCATAAAAATGCTTTAAATTATTAAGATTAAGGAAAAGAAAATGAAGAAATTTATCAGAAGAACAAAAGAACAACTCTGGTCATTTGGAGCAGCCACTGCAGGGAGTCAAGGGGAAGCTGCTATGTCCTATAGTTTTGGGGGTCCGAACCCACCAGATGAAAAGACAATATCATCACCCATGCTTGGCAACAGGGTAAATAGATATACCCTTTAGAGAAGGCAATTTGATCATATCAATTTTAGTGCACATACCCTCTGATCCAGGAAACACACTTCTAGAAATCTACCCTATAGAAATACCCACATAAGTAGACCAATGTATACAGGGTATTTGTCACTGCATTTTTTTTTATAAAACTCAAAGCTTAGAAACAATCTACATATTCAACAGTAGGGAAAGAGTTCAATAAGCTTCAAAGGAATATCCACACCATGGAATACACTGAATGCAGCAGTTTCTTTTTTTTTTTTAATTTAATGTTTTTATTTATTTTTTTGAGAGACAGAGAGAGAGAGAGAACATGATTAAGGGAGGGTCAGAGAGAGAGGGAGACACAGAATCTTGAAGCAGGCTCCAGGCTCTGAGCTAGCTGTTAGCCCAGAGCCCAACGCGGAGCTCAAACCCACGAGCTGTGAGTTCATGACCTGAACCAAAGTCGGACGCCCAACTGATTGAGCCACCCAGGTGTCCCTGAATGCAGTGGTTTAAACACAAGGTAAAAACATGGTCCTCAGTGGAAAAAACCAGAACAGAAAAACACATATTGTATAATTCTATCAACATAAAATGTCTGGAAAAGGAAGATCTAGAGACAGAGAGCAGGTGAGTCGT